ACCTGATTTTAATTTAAAAATAAAATTTTTGTTTGTTCCTTATTTAAGTGGAAACATAATTATATTGATTGAAGAGCGGAGCGAGTCCCAGATTGCTGATGCGAACATGTGTTTAAACTTTTCAGATGAGTGAAGAATTATAACAAATTCATCTTGAACTGCATTAATCACCGCTCAAAGCCAGTGAAATTATAAACGTCGTTTGAGCACTCCACAGCATCTGTATTTAGTAGAGTGGAAGATTTGAACGCAAATGAATTTGATTTTGAAAGCCGTCGGGGGGGAAGAACGAAGCTTATCCTTCTATAGCAAATCGTATTCGAATCAACATACGCACCTCTTTTTAAAAAGCTAGTAAAACGAGTACAATAATCAAAAAACATCTTTTTTATGTAACTCCACATTTAATGTACGTATGTATGTACATAAATCAATTAATGTTATATAAAAAGAATAAATTGTGTTCAGTGCATTTCAGTCTTTATTTAGACAATGAAAACAAAAAAAAATTAAATAACGTTGCATCGTGCGCACACATTTAGCCCGTTTCCGTACTTCACGATTTGCAGGTTTTACAGGAACAGCTGTTTTCGCCTTCAATGTGAACGTGGCGTACGGGAACGACTTTGAACTTAATCCTGCAAAACCTGCAAATCGTAGACGTTCTGGAACGCACTAATTCTCATTTTCAATCTCAAACAACAACTTTGAACAATTCCTTTTTTTTACTCTCACTTTTATGATTTTGAAATGCCGGGTCTACGTAATCGGAACGACCCAGATTTATACCTTGGTTATAATGCACGGGGCGAATCGTAACAAATCGCAGCGAATTCGTAAGGATCTATTGACTTTAGATGCTTCCGTTTTACATTGCGTTGAAGTGCATTATAATCGTTTGAATTCATTGCACATACAATAGATAATTAAGTGACAGTTCACTCAGTTCTGTTATTTCCATTATAATCCAGGCATTACATTTGGCCAAGGACTGCCACTCCAGCAACACTTCCCAAAAACTCTTTATGGAACTTGTATGCTTCTACAACAAAACGGGTTTACCTTGCTATATTTTTATCATGGCTATATCTTAAATTTCGAAGACTGATCGAAACGAAACGGAACGCAGAATACCGAAGTTGTCAAATGGAGAAAATTTCGATTCGAGTCGAAATGCAGAATAGTGCTGAATATTTGTGGCAAATCGGTTTTATGTACAATCTAAATACCACGTCTTATTTTACAAAAACGATGTGAGCGTGCAAATTTGGTTAAACAAGTTTTGATTTTTTGATAATAAAAAAATAAACAAAAATTTAATATTTAAGAGTAAAACGGTTTTATTTACTAATTAATCTACATGGAATTTTTACAAAAACGATGTCCAATAGCAGGTCGTTGACTTTCAATATGTACCAGTAAAAAGTGGAAAACTCCTGGAATTAAAAATATCTTATTAATTAGTTTCACGTTACGCAGTTAATAGAACACAGAATTTTAAGAAACTCAGTGCCATTTTCTAACCATTATCCATAACCAGTTCAACAGAACGCGCTTATCCCAAAAGAATATTGGAACAGTTTGTTCATAGTTGTACCTTTATATGGTTGTCTGTGAATGGTTTATAATATCATCATAGATAAAGTATATACATAGTAATACTGTTTTCTTTTATTTACCTTGAGATTTTGTGTTAGGCAAACGTATGTACGCCAAATTACTGCTTTCCCCCCTGAGTGCATAATCGGATGATTCTGGAGAAAATAAGAATGGATATAATTAAAATATGTAGCATACCAATATATTCTAGATATAAAATGTTTGCCTCAGTTAATTTAAATGATATCACATTGATTCATAAGAGATGTCAGAAAAGAAAATATATAGATCATCATTATTTACATATGAGGTATTTTCAGTCTTGCAAAGCTCTTGCACGGTACATGGGTAACACTGTGCTGCGCGGCGCAATTGCGCTAACACGGTAGCCGGAGTTGCCGCGCGAACACCAGTATATGGAAAGCGCCAGCGCCATTAACACCAAGAAACATATGAGGCACACACACAATTCGCCTTAACTCTTTGAAAATTTACACGTACTTTGTTTTTGCATTTGAATGTTGAGAACGCGAATTTAAAGCTTTTACTCAAGAATGATAGAATATCGTGGAATTTAGTACATTCCTAGCAATTAAATTCAGTTGGCGGTACAAGCGTTGCACAGCGCTGAAATTTATAGAAATAATAGACATGACACCACTGTATGGTGTACTGTACTGTATGACGATGGGTACTGCGGTGACACTCAGATGGCGCCGTGTTCAATTCAGTACACTGCGCTATTGCGCTGGGTTAGGGCGCTGACACCACAGGTGGCGCTGGCGTTATTGAGCAAGCGCCAAAAAAATTGCGCAATTACCCATGCCTACTAGCTTGGTTTGCAAAGCTGTCCCATATGAAAAGTTTTTATCATGCAAAGGCTTTGCAAGACTCAGAAAATACCCCTATAGTATTTACGAAAAAAGTTATTGCTTTTACCTTTACTCTTGGACAAGTATCGTCCCCACGACAGTCGGGTCTACGTAACCGGAACGACCCAGATTTATATTTGGCCAAGGACTGTCACCCAGCAACACTCCCCGAAAACTCTTTGGGGAGCTTGTATCCTGCTACAAAACAACAAGTATCGGTACGCGGGTCGCTGCTTTTCGGTATTTTAGGACCACATCTTGTTGAGATAGCCAAGTCGTCAATATTCACCATATTCTGAAATTATTATTTCTAAACTGTATTTCATGCACTGTATGTATAGTAATAAAATATTTTTAAGTAAATATGTACACTTCACTAAAAAATATGCACCGCAAATTTACAAGGAAATTTGGGTTATGCTTGTGCGAAGAGAGTTATTTTACGAGCAAGTAAAAAGCACTAGCGGAAGTGGTATTCTTTATCTTCCAACCAGCGACTCTGTGCTCGCACTGCTTTTACTACGAATTTTAGGTTATGCATTGCACTTACCAGTTTTATACACCCTCTCCTAAATTCCATCCTCTAGGCAACTGCAACAAAGGAAAAATAAATGGTTAACAATCATAATGCTTCAAATTAGTTATAGATGTTGCAAAAGCACGTGTTGCAAAGTATCTAGACCACATAGTCCACCATCTTAAATCAACCACATGGCGATAGTCGTTGCATACACCTTTGCTTTGGCAGCAATTGCGAGTTCTACAATACGGCAAGCATAGACCGCATTGTAGTTATATAGGACTGCCTACAAATAATTATTGTAAGTTAAAATTGTAGCCGAAACCCATGGATCAAAGGCTATTATGCTCACCGAAGCACCCAAAATCACAGCACAATTTTCTTTGGCTAAAAGGTTTGTCCTTTGATGGTTATAAAAAAAATATCACCAGAGGTATCAATTTTGCTTGACATATAAATGCCTCTGAAAACTCACCGACTCCGTACTAAAGGCATTCATGACGAAATATGTACACTTTCGCTTAATAAAAGAATACGAACACGTTTTTTTCATTGTAGAAACCTGGAGTTATGCTCGGTCTAGGTAGGAAAATACGAACACGTTCACCTTCCAGAAGATTAGAAAAAAGTGAAGAAATATTCACATTCCGGAAGCAAGCTGGCAGAGCAATGGCGGCTACGAGGTAGCAGCGACACCTAGTGCGAAAATTTGAACTAGTGTGGCCACCTTCCGAATGGTGGGTTTCACACTGGAACATTTCTGCCACCAGAACCACTCTGTTTGTGGGCAAGAGAGACAGTGCGGTGAGGTAAAGTTTCTCAAAAAGTTGTTACAGCTTCTACCCCGCTTTTGATCTTTTCGTTGCTTCCCATTTAAGAACCAAGGACTTGAATTCAATTAAAGTTGACGCTTGTGGAAGCAAATATAAAACACAAAAGGGAATGCGAAAAAATTGCTTTCAAGACTTGAAGTGTCTGAAAGAGGACAAACTTGCAGTTCTGCTGCAGCGCACTAACACACGCACAACTACGAAAGAGCCGCTACGCAACTTTCAAGCGCAGAAGTTACAAATCCATTCAAATGTCCTGTAATCGTGTTTCTTTATTGTCTTGACAGCATTGTCTAATGTAAACGCGCCGTCACGGCCGTCTTCACATGCTTGAAAATCTCGATAAACCATGATCCAACTACACAAGATCTGACAAAATGGAGCAAAAGAAAAAAGTAATTTTCTGGCTCACGTTTGTAATTTCGGCGCCATGTTATTTTCTGTGAAAAGTAAACAAAGAATATGAAAAAAAGCGTAAAGAAAAAATGCAAGCAATGTTGTGCACATGTTTGTGCTTTGCATTTGCATTTGTGTTTTTGCATTCAATCACCGCGCACTTCATTTTAATTACATTTGCATAAAAAATCACTTAAAAATAACTGAAATAAACCACCGACAAAATACACATAAAGAAAGAACCAAAACAGAAATAGCAAACTTCAAAATTACGAACGTCACCCACTTTTTTTCTCAATTGCTATTATAAATGACTGCTTCTCAACCGGTCAGATCTGTTCTAATTGGTTCATGCTCGATAAACGATGTTTCTACTCTGAAGAATTCTGCGAAATGAGAAAATACCTGTCCAACAACAAAAATGATAGTTGAAAGAATGCGAGATCTCGCAAACCGCTGGGTAGGCGAGAAAAAGTATGGTTCGTACTTTTTGCGGTCTACACTTGCGTCGTCACACGAGCGAAATTTTCCATCACGTGAAGACGGCCGGTAATAAAAAAAAAAATTGGTGGCATCATACTTTGGACACATGTTTCGCCGGGAATAACGGTTTCAGTAACTGTGATGAAGCACAAATAAATTTTTTATTCATGAAAATCTCGCATCAACTTATGTTGCTCTGTAGTAAAATTTGTGTAAAGTAGTGAAACGAATTTTAAGAGGCGATTCTGCCTACTAAACTTTTGAAGATTGCAGAAACCTGATTTGCTTAGTTCTTAGTTCCCGACAAAATCTGATTTTATGATGACTTCCGAATTGGATAAATTTTTGGAAATGTCTCTTGGTACTATAATGCTTAGTTTGACCAAACTTGTGCCCATAATAATAAAACGTATATTTAGACGAGTATATAGCAACAAAGAAGGACGTTTTTCGCAACCTTGGTAACAAAAGCATCGGTGCTGCCTCTAAATCCACTATCAACACCGGACCTGCCTTTAAAGCTGAACGGCGAAAGTCTAGAGATGATGAAGTTGAAGATGAAGACGAAGTTATGGATAATGAATCAGAATTACTAGGTGAGGGATCTTTTCTAAATTCCAGCGACAAATTAAACAAGTCTCTTGGGATGTGGCGAGGCCCGAGCGCTGAAACCAACTTTATTGATTTGGAATACATGAAGGATGATTTCGATGAGATGTTCAACGATCCTGAATTAAAGAAGTCATGCGAAGGGAACCCACTAAGTCAACAAAAGCAAAATAATCCAAAGGATTTACGAGAAAGAATTAATAATGGCCCAAATTCCAACAACAACCACAACAACAACAATAAAAATAATATGGGAGAAAGACGCACTAATGACCCAAATCCCAACAACAATAAAAATAGTGTACGAGAAAGACTTACTAATGGCCCGAGTCCCAATAAAAGTAACAATAATAATAACGCCAACACCAGCAAACAACAGAAAACACCGGTACAGGCACCAAATAAACAGAACAATGTTAATGCAAATGCTAATTGGCGTTCGAATATGCAAACGCAACAACACTCAATGTCTCTAACAAGTCTTAATACGGAAGGTGGCCTAAGTGGCAATGGGCAGTATCGTCGACGCTGGAATAATAACTTTCGGAGACGTAATAATGACGGATGTGGGAATCGCGGAAACGGCTTTGTGAATATTGGCGCTAAAAACATGAATTGGAATAATAATCGAAACGGAGGAGCTTCTGGGATGCATAACAACAACAATTCTATGAACAACGGACGTATACAACGTTCTAATCAACGCAGCAATGTGGATCTTAAGTATAGCGAAATACAAATTTCAATTATGATAAGTCGAATTCTTACAAGGCAGAGATAGCTAGCTTAGCGAAAATCGTTTTCTAACTTCCCGCCCTAATTCATAATGTTTACAAACTTTAACTTAATTATTTTCAATTCTAATTAGGTTATATGTAACTAATGCATGCGATTTCTATACTCATTACGTTTTGCTATACAAATGTCGAATTGACCCAAGTTAATGCAAAACTATCGATGTACATAGTATTTAAATATAATCTTTTGTATAATAATTAAAACTTGCATATTTTCAGCAAAAGAATTAAAAGTGTTCTGGAGCAAATCAATAGCGCAGGTTCAATGTATCTCAATAGGCAGGCAGGTTCTGTTCGAGATTTGACTATTGAATGCCCAAGTATATCGTTTCCTGGACGAATAACTACAGGCGGTCTACAAACTGCTGCACAGCCAATTCTACAAAACCAACAACAACAAACGCAAAGTGACTTGAAGTCTTTGCTAGGTGTTAACGAAAGTAATTTAAAAGCAGAAACTATGGCAATGTGGGCTGGAAAATTACTCGATTTGTTTCAATCTGGACAACAGCAGACTGTTCATAAACCCATCTACGACATACAAATTCAAAAGGAAATTCATCAGTTGCAGGTGCGTACATAGAATGAAAATTTTTAAACACAAGCTGATTTGACATTACGTATATTATTTAGGGCAAACCACTTTTTTATAAATGCCCTAGTGGCGAAGTTGTAAGTTCAGACGGCTCTGGCGTCGACAATTGCAAGGTTACACCAAGTTCAAGCGGTGTAACGCTCAACTATAGATTCGGCTGAAAGGAAAAAAAAATCTTTCTGTACGTAATTATAAAAACAATTCAGTAGGAAAATGAATTGCCTTTATACCTTTCTTTTATAGGAAACCAAGTTCTTTTAAGTTCCATTTAAACTCCTTTGTTATGCATTTATTTCTGTATTTACATTGAATTACAAACCGATAAATTAAAGTTGAATTTTTGCGTAATGTCAATGAATGTTTTTAATGTGAGTTTGAAAGAAGTGGGAGTACATCCAGACAAAATAGGACAAAGTCCGTTTTAAACGATAGGTTTTTATTTGAAGTCATGTTAATATCGAAGCTGATAGGGTTGTTTTAATTCCTCCATTGCTGGGGTGTTGATGAAGAGTTTAAGAACCCGACGCAATATTTAACAAATATCCCTTTGTTGGATTGGTAAAAAGAACTCGCAACGAAAATATTCAAAGCAAATCCATATTGATAGAAATGCAATGCCACAACATGCATCTCCTATTCAGGGCTATCACAGAATCCATCGTAGTCCGACTTTTCGTGAAATCTGCGAAAATGCTATCACAGAATACGAATAGTCACGAACGTGGCGTATACTTTGAATATACACGTTCGTATCAATTCGGAATCAGTGATTGCATTTTCGTAGATTTCACGAAACATCGGACTAGGATGGATTCTGTGATAGCAGCCCCCATTACGATTTTCGTAAAATTACGAATATATATGTTATTACTGAATCTGAATTGCTACGGCCAGATGTATTCAAATTGTGTGCTACTTTCGGATTTAGGGCCGGTTGCTCAAAGCCTGGTTGACACTAATCATCGGTTAACATCAATATCGACGTTTTCGACTCCACGTATTCCAACAAACATTTATGTTTGAGCTCAACTTGAGGTTAAGTTGAGAACTAAGGTATTTCTCAAATCTCCAACGTTCTTTCACAATAGTACCTCAAGTGGAGGAACATATCGTTCTCAACAAAAAAGGCATTTTTCTTTGTATAAAAAAAGGACTGTTTCTGAAGTTGAGAAATGCTAGTTCTCACTGAATTTGAAATAGTAAAATACCGTATACCTTTTTGATTGAAACGACATACATAGAAGAATTTAAGTATTAATTTTTCATTTTATTACAATAATTAACTTCACGTATACAGTCCGACAGTCATTTTGCCACTTGATTCACTTCGCCTTTAATTTTCTTTCAAGATTATTTGAGGATACTATGAAGATTATTTACTTTTTGTTGGTAATTTCCTCTATATAACTTTCGTTTTTCACTTGATAATTAAAAATTCTTTTCTATCACATTTTCCGTATCGGTGCGTCGGTTAGAGATGAGTTGGAGAATGATGTTGGATATCAACTTGAGAACTGTGAATTTCTCCAAGGTTGGGATATAACACGGAGTCGGTAACGCCGATAACGATGTTTAACCGGGGATTAGTGCCAACCAGGCTTTGAGCAACCGGCCCTTAGTGATAGCATTTTCGTAGATTGTTACGGTTACGAAGAACCGCTTTGTTTTGCTTTATAAATAATTCTATTGTGAAATCAAACATTGCTAAGAAGAAGCAGACCATGTGTGCATTTGTAAATAAATAAAGTTTAATAGGCACCAAATAACAGGCGCTTATCACTAAAGGAACTGATAATGGCAACTCGTATTGGACGTCCATCTAAAAAATAAAAGCAATAGCTGCACTAAATTAAACACATATATATATGTACATGCAGCTATGTCGGAGAGACCTGTATGTATAGAGACCAGTAATGTTCGAGAAGTCAATGTGAGAAGATCTTTGTAGGAACTGGTAATTGAACCAAACAGTAAACAACAATCTGTGTGCGCAGTGTTTTTGTTGAGATAAGACAAAAACGGATTTTTATTTTGAGCAAGCCACTCAAAATAATTGCGAAATTTTACAACGCTTCCGTACCCTTGAAATGCGGGTGGTTTCAGTATCAAAAACCGCAATTTTCGTTAATAGTACAACAGTAATAATTAAGCGAAGGAGGAAAGTGAGGGCGAAGTTCATTGGCGGCGCTCCATAATCACATATGTACGTATACGTATATTCATGTAAATGTTCAGTCTTCGCATATGTACATTAGCCACTCGTATGGAATAATCCGCTTATTTGAAAACAAAAGGCGAAAGAAAAACAATTCGTTATCTTGAAATCGATTAAATATATGGTGAGTATGTTTCTTTAATTACATACATAGATTGCCCTTAAAGTAAATTCTATAAATATCTATATTTTTAGTAGCTGTGCTTGTTAGAATCAAGCGAAGTGGCGTTAACTATGCAAATCTTTGTTTTTTAACATCTGAGGACGCGCAATAAATACGGCAAGCTACAATTATTAACATCTTTAGTGAAACCATACAACACATTAATACAACAACAATAGTTGTATACCGTCGCAGAAATAATTTTATCAACAGCTGCAATCGTTAAACTGGCGAAAGGAAGTATTTGGGAATTATTGATATTGATATTGCTAAATAATATTGTTATTACTGCGAGAAAAAGTCGACAGAGGAAATGTTTAAGCCAACAACGCTAACTCATAAATTGGCAAAAGGTAAATCAAATTTATTTAGTTTTAGCCGGCTTCACAAAAAGGAAAAGGTTATCAGTTCGCAGATTATTTTTTTTTTGTTTTTTTATTTTGTTTGCTTATGCATGGACCACGTTAAGCGATTTCTATAATTCTTTTTTTTTTAAAGATGTGTAACAAATTAACACAATCTTAAATTTGTATATAAGAATTGAAATCGGCTTTGTTTTCTGCTTAAAAATTACTTGTTAATCGACTTCAAAAAAGGAGAAGGTTATCAATTCGTCGGAATATATTTTTTCTTTTTTTTTTATATACATTGTTACCGTGTAACTTTGGACCACGTCAATTGATTTTGATAATCTGTCGGAAAGGTAGTGTCTCATAGGTGGTCCCATACTAATTTGGTTTAGATCCGATCATTGGATCATGAAAAAAATTACACTCCTAAATTTTTATATGCGAATTAAAGTCGATTGTGTTTTTTGCTTAAAAATTACTTTTTTTTAATAATACTTGTTATCATAACACTTTAAACTTAGCTTTGTTGTATGTATAGTAGGGATGTTTCGAATGTAAAATTTTTTCGAATCTTCGGAATGCGAATATTAGGAATAACATTAAAAAAGCTATAATTAAGTTAAGTCATCGTTTTTATTACTTAAAATTTGTAAATTATTAGAACATTGAACGAGTGCTTAACCTAATCTTCTTCTTCGTATTTGGCGCTGTAACCGCCTAAGCGATTTTTTCCGAGTTCAAAAAATCACGCCAGTCGTTTCTCCTCTGTACCAACTCACGTCAATTGGAAATGCCAAGTGAAGCCAAGTCCATCTCCACCTGTTCTTTCCATCGTAGTGGGGGCCTCCCTCTTCCTCTGCTACCACCAGCGGGTTCGGAGTTGAATACTTTCAAAGCTGGAGCGTCGGTGTCCAAGTCAGCGGAGCCGCTGTATTTTAGTTCGCTGGTGTATGTCCATGTCGTTGTAAAGCTCATACATCGTTCCATCGACTGCGGTACTCGCAGTCGTCAACGCGTAAAGGCCCGTAAATCTTCCGCAAAATCTTTCTCTCGAATACTCCAAGAGCCACCTCATCGGATTTGTCATTGTCCATGCTTCTGCGCCATATACCAGCACAGAGTGTGGTTGTCGTACGTCGAGAGAGGACTTTTACTCCTGAATTGCCTACTTAGTCCAAAGTAGCACTTGTTGGCAAGAGTGATTCTACTTTGGATTTCAATGCTGACATTATTATCGGTGTTAATGCTGGTGCCCAAGTAAACGAAATTCTCTACCTTTTCGAAATTATAACTGTCAACAGTGACGTAGGTGTCAAGCCGCGAATGTGCTGACTGTTTGTTTGATGACGGGAGATACTTCGTCTTGTCCTCGTTTACCACCAGACCCAGTCGCTTTGCTTCCTTATCCAACTTGGGAAAAGGTCGACGTCATCGGCATTAGCTAGCAATTGCACGCTCTTGTAGTAAATGCTTAACGTATACAGTGTTTAAATCTAGTAGAGAAAGTTCAAAAGGGGCATATTACATTTCACAAAAGTAGTTTTGCTGCCTTTTCTCCCATGAGGCGATTTCTTAGAGGCTCATATACAAGGCCGGCTGCACTGAACAGTTGCTCACATGGAAGGCTGGCGGGTGGAGCGCTCAAATATCTGCGGGCCAGATCTGTCAACTTGTCGTATTTTTGTACAAGAGGATTTTCCCCGAGATGAGCTCGTTCTTCTTTAAGATAGGGCTTCAATTGAGCTTTAATTTTACATTTTTTAATATCTCCAGATTCTACATCTGAGCCTTCGCTTTCGCTGGAGGAATCTAAAATTATTTCTAGGTTGCTTATAAGACTTTTAGCAGTACTTGTTGAGGGCCCATCATTGTTGCTTGATATACTACTTAACCGTTTAGCGCCTGAAGCTAAACGCCGGTTATTGTCCGCGCCCTGGTTAGACAGACTTAGAGCCATTCGTATTATTTGATGCGATGCATGGTATCTATGTATGGAAGTATGGGTATTCTTGGAAACGCGTCAATGCCTCTTAAACGCGTAAACTACGTAAATAATTCGATTTTCCATACAAAATGAAGTAAGTTTACGAGGTTTACATGGTTACGAGGCATTTACGCGTTTTGATGAATTGCTGGAAAGGTCAGACTGCCTCTCAATGGTTTTACTTTGTTATGTTTTTATCATGGCTCCATCTCTTACAAAACCCATATCCAAGTTTAAAACTTTGTAGGAAACTAAAAACAATGCCAAGAATTTCCATCCAAATTTGAAGCTTTTTTCACAAGTGCTAAATGCAGCAGCATGGTTCGAAATACATACATATGTAGGAAAGGTTCAATGGCAGATTCTGCAAAAGTTTTGTTTCAATGCTAGTCGTACATATTGTTTTACATACATGCGTACTTATCTGTAAAGTTAGTGTGTAAAAACGCGACGTCACGTATATATATTTGTACTATCAATTAATGAATTGATAACGCAAGCGATCGCATTCAATCGAAAGTTTAGGAACATATGTATGTACATACGAATATTTTCATTTAAAAGCGTATAAGTAGGTATTAAAAAAATTTAGGAGAACGTGATGGGTTACTTAAAATATATACATAAATACTTACATATGTAATTAAATTTGCATTCATTTATAATTCCTTACCCAATAATCAATGCATAGTTTAAAAAATATACACACATGCATGGTATTTGGAACATGAAATGTTTACAATGAATCCAAAATTGCAGAATTAACTCAAGTTTTTCAATATCTAAAGTAAATAAATAATATTACAAACCCGCAAACACAGTCTCTAACGTTAGATAAACATTTTCTTTTACATTAGATTTCTAATGTATGTACATACTTTAATAAAAGCTCTGCCAGGATCGATAGCCGGCCCACATACATACATTTCTGTGCATATCTGACTAAACAACTTGTGACGAGTGAGGTTATTTTCTCTTATATTTTTATTTTTAATCTATAATACGATTAGTTTAAGATGCTATATTAATGAAAGTTATGTAAATAAAATTTGAAATTTAAAATTTGAAGTTTCTTATATTTTCCGTTAAATTCCAACCTACCGAAATCAAATGAGTTGTTTTGTCAAAAGCGCACAGATATGTACAACGCTTATACATACGTAAATGTATGCACAAGTAGAACTACATATTTATGTAATAAAGGTTCTCTATTTTCAGATTATCGCGCATGGCGCAAATTCAGCAATCATAACAAGGATGCTGGTGAGGGTATGGCCAAATATCCACCACCTCAATTCAAATTACAACGTGCGCTTATTATAACCAAATTTTCACGATATGAATTCGAACAGATGCGCTATCCAAAACTCAGTCGTGAAGAGTTGGAGAAAAGGCTACGCGATCGTGGCACCGACTATGAGATGTTAATGTATCTCCATAACTTACATAAGGATTTTGAAAGAAACGTGGTACATAGCTTTCTAGATGTTGGCTGCGAAGTGAAAGTGGCTAATAGGTAACGGTAGTATTTAGTCTGAATGTTGCATGCCATTTGTACGCATCATTTACATATAAGGTCGACGGCCCAAAATGTACTTCAGCGGTATAGCTTCGATCCTTAGAAACGTATGAATACGTTCTTTAATTTGATGCAGTAACTAATTTTGTGAGTGCCGAAGCCTTGGAGGCAAAGTACACTAAATGAGTCGTCGGGCTAACCTTTTCTCGGAACATACATACATTAAATTAAAAGCAATTCAAAAAGCATAACCGCTAAATGTAAATAAATCATTTTACATAGCAAAGAAAGTGCATGCTTATGTCTTTAATATTTCATTTTTAACCAACTCATTTCTAGCATATGCATATTGGTCATATTCTTAACAAACATACATAAATAAGCATAAAAACATTAGACTGTCCCAAAAAACCAAAGTTGGTTTTTTCTAACGCATACCCCCCCTCATTTCATAGGGTTTGTCTTAAAAACGCGTGCCGACTTGCAGTCAATGTTATCAGAATAATCTTTGTGCAGTTCGCGTGTTTTGTTAACTCACTTATTTTACTTCTATAAAACTCGGTATTACTATACTCCCTACAGTAATAGGGCATACTATTTAGCTAATATGTGCTTTTATTTTTTTACCAGGTAGTCAGGACTTTTTCCAAAGGACTATAAATAATAATTTATTTCCAAAAGTTTACACAAAATATGGATATATGGGTACCAATTAAAAGAAAAATTCAAAACAAAATTAATTAAAACTTTTGTTTTCAATTATCCTTTTGGAACATGCCAAAAATATCCTTTAAAAATATTATCCTCCAAATATGGGAAACATCGAAATTTTCGCATTTCCAAACTTTTCATGGATGATTAATTCAAGTTATTAACTAAAAGTTCAATTAAAAGTCGGCAAGGATTATCGTTATCCTTCGGATATCAATATTTTCAATTTTTTTTCTATATATTCTTGGAACAGTCTAATGTACATATGTATGTACACACACACACACATTCTTAAACCAATTCGATTTTTTTTTCTTATCTCACGTGATCCAAAATTTTGCAACTTTTTGTGTCTTGTTTCAAATTTAAATTAATGTCCATAAATGCATATGTGCCTGCGTCTGTCTGAATGATTGACGGATGTTTGAATTTACTAAAATTAGAGTCGAATTTAGAAGCTCCCTAAGCAAGGAGATAATGAAATGGGCGGATTTGATAGTGCCTGTTGGTGGCGATGGCACCTTCTTGCTTGCAGCCGGACGCGCTAGTCCACTTTTTGCACAGAGTCAACAGAAAACACCCATTGTTGGCTTTAACTCAGATCCACAACGATCCGAGGGTCGATTAATGTTGCCAAAATATTATACAGAAAATACAGCAGATGCGGTGGCCAGGATAAAGAGTGTAAGTTCGAACTGCATGTAAATAAATATATTATTTTTTTTTTTGGTTGGTTTAATGCTTTGTGATACTTTGCTTTAATTCACTTAAAAATTTTAGGGCGATTTCCAATGGATGTATCGTACACGCATTCGTACTTCTATACTTGGTAATAATGGTAAAATCCCCGAGTCTACCGATTTATATCGCCACACTGTAACCAAAATGGAACAAGAAAAGACTGAACCGGAATATTTGAGTAAGTCATGGGCGTTGCGATACAAGGCGAAAATGAAGCGAGTTCTGCCTTATTTAGCATTGAACGAGGTTAGAATTCTTATAGTAAATGTAATTAAAATTTGATAATAAAGTTTTCATTTTAGGTTTTCATTGGCGAACAACTTTCAGCACGTGTATCACATTTACAATTAGTGATCAACCATCAGGATATAGACAATAAAACAAAGTGTTCTGGATTATGCGTGAGCACTGGAACAGGATCGACTTCGTGGCACACGAGGTAGAAATGCATACATATTTATATTCAGAATTATTTGGAAGTTTCCCATTTTCATTCTCGTTTTTCAAAAAAAAAAAAAAAAAATGCTCAGCTCAGGAATTAGTACCAAAAATCAAACCAAAACGGTGAATTCGAAGGTGGATTAAGTTTTAGGCTGTTTAGTGCTAGATTATTGTTGCAATAGCGGCGATTTTTAATACTCTCTTTCCAATACCCTTTCCAAATTTCAGCGTTTTGCGTCTGCACTAATTTACTTATGTCTCTTACAAAGTGTTGACGTTATATATTTAGCGATATTAAAAACTTTTTTTTTTTTTTAATATTTTAATGAAAAAAAAAGATGGAAAAAGACGAAAAACGACTTCTTTCTTTTAATCTCATTTCAGCATAAATCGCATTACAACCCAACAAGTTGAGGATTTGGTACGTATATTGCCCATAGACGAGCCCGGCGGCGGCAGACCAATGCCTGCTTTTGATGCTGACGCAATTGCAACTCAATACAATCAAAATTTACGCTTTGCGCCTGGTACTAAAAACAAAAAGAAATATTTTTTTTCATTTTTCTATTAACATTAGTTTTCATGCTATTTTTTTCTAGATGATCCACGCTTGTGCTATTCAATACGCGAACAAATTTGTGTTGGTGTTTGGCCAAGTCCAAAGGACTTCAAGGCGCGCAGATTCGTGAATAGCTTATTTGTGAAGTCACGTTGCATTGATGCGAGTAAGTAATTATGGGCTTGTTTAACCATCAAAATATATATTTTTATTACATGTTTGTATCTTTTGCTTTAACAATTGCTAATAAGGCTCACAATGCTTTCCTTTTGTTGTGGTTTTGACGGCTCTTTATATACTATTTGTAATTTAAATACTCATAGAAACGCAACACTTGCAGCGTTAATTTACTTTGTAAACAAATCATAAATATACCAACCATTGAAATGGTGACAAATAAATGAAATGGCACATCCAAAACGTACATGGTCCAGACAATTTCAAAAATATTTTCCGCCACGGCAGTAATGCTATAGAAGTTCCAAAGTATGCATGGTAGTAGAAATTTTCGATTATATCGCTTCTATGAAATAAAAAAATAAACGAAATGCATAAAAATCGGGGACACCCTAAATTAATCTTTAGTTTCTTTTTACCGGATTTAAGATGGCATTTGCGGCCAGCGTGTTGAATATTACTGTTAACAGTCGAAAACACAATCCAAATTTCGGCAATATAGTCGGCTCGATCAACTCCTGTCCGAAGCGACTTGCTATTTCAATGCCTAAAAGTATAATATTATATCCAAGCTATATAAATGCAGCCGGATGTACAAACCATTGAATTTGTAGTTCCAACCAACATCTTGATTTGCTATCAGTAGCACAATGGCATAGTTGTACACTAGCAGTTTTACTGTTTCCGTTTGAAATTCAAATAGCAAACTGGGATTCTACAAAATAGTTCAATTGCCATTTCAAGGTCTTGCCATTAAATGTATGGCTCATGCCACACACTTAACTAAATTAAGATATGTTGCTTACCCTAAATAACGACTTGCATTTACTAAACGACGACTGCTGCACTGGTTGTTTTTCTAACATGTTTTCGTTTTATTAAGACAGTTGTCAGTCATGTTCACATTTTTCTCAATCATTTATTATATTTACTTTGTCACCTGTCCTTTCAATTGATTAAAAAAGCATTTCATGCTCCAAATATGTTTGATTTTCTTATCAATTGGATATTTTTTCAACACTTTCAGATCTTGTGATCGATGGTAGCATTTCCTATCCATTCAATGATGGTGCGAAGGCGTTACTGGAAGTACATCCAGAGGATGCACTGCTTACTATATCTCTGGATTAAGCAATAACTATTACTTGTTAGATTTAAGAGCGTTTCTTAAAGTGCACACAACCATGACATTTTGGATTGCTCTAGGGTATAGGATATACCTATTTATATAGGATATGCATAAAAAACTTAAAATATGTAGATACACACATATGTGATTTAAGCTTTCAATAAGTTTGGGTGTAAAGTGTGCAGCACGTTTAGAGTAATTTTTTTTACTGTTATCGTATAAGCTACTAAAATGTACGTACGTATAAATACATACTAAGCTCTAATAAAACTTGCATGTTTCTGAAAAGAAAACATTTCTGCATTTAGTCGCATTATCCACGAGTATATGAATTTCTATCTTATGAAATGGTCGAACAAAGTTTACCGTACTATTATTCATTATGTACATACAGACATGCATATGTGCTGGCAATAGTTAATGGTAAGTTATGTTATAGATAAAGTAAAGTAAAACATTCCCCGTGATATACACACTTGGAACCTTCTTTAAAACAAAAACTAGCTTAATTACTTCAAATATGTTAAGCACTTTGCTTCTTATTTTTATTTATGGTTTTTTTTTTGCTATTCAAAGGTTTTGAACTCTTATGCGATTTTTTTTTAATTATTAGTTTTGACTTGTTTGCTAAATGTAATCCTTTATTTGTTTTGCCAGTCGTTTGTTCCCCATTTTTTCCATTGTCATCATTTCCTTTGAGCGTCTTGGATTTTTTACGTTTCTCAAATCTTTTAGCATCAACAGTTATGAAACGTTCATCTTGCGTAAGCGCTGCTTCTTTTTTAGCCCATTCCTTCTGGCGCTCTTTACGTTGGCGACGAGCTTCACGTAATTTATCTCGTTGCTTCTTACGAAAACTTAATTGGACGATTAATTATATATGTTAATATACTTTTTAATAAATATTAACATATTTTAAGAAATACAACTTACGCTTCCTCCATAGCATCGGGATCTTTGCCTTCCAAAATCCACTGTTTGCGCCTATAGTTCTGCGCACGTTCGTCGAAATCGTTATTATCCAACTGAATTTCCGATTCACGCCGCGTTACATTAACTTGCATAAAAATACGTTCTACCATGCGTTCTACAATGTCAAACGATAAGCATGCATTAGCATGAATCTAACAAATTATTCAAGAAAATACTACACGCACGATCAAGAGGATGTTCTGTTAGTTTAACATTTATCGCTGCTTCTATCTCTCCAAGCAATTCCAAGTCTCTTGGAAATCTGAATATAGAAATTGCCATTCCCTTACGTCCCGCACGTGCTGTCCGTCCAACACGGTGTATATATTCTTTTGGAGTACGTGGTAAGCGATGATTGATTACCAGTTGTACACTCGGAATGTCCAGCCCTCGTGCTGCTACATCAGTAGCGATGAGGGTACGAACATGGTTCGATTTAAATCGATTTAAAGCGGCAACTCGTTCCTTCTGACGCATAAATCCATGTAAGCAGACATTCTCAATGCCCATATTTTTTAAGGTCATAGACAGCAACTGGCAGTATCTAGAAGATTGTGGTAAAGAATTCTTTGTTTAATCACCCATTAATATATGTTTTACTTCTTTGTGTTGGTGAAAATCATGACATTTGCATTTTCATCGTCCTCGCGGTATTTTCGCAGCGCTTCAATTAATACCATATCACGATCGTAGTCAGCACAAAGCATATAACGCTGATCAAGTGTATCAACCGTTGCTACATCAGACTCTTCTGACCACTCAAAACACTGCAAAAGATTATATTCCATATATTAAATTATCCCTACTCATAGCTACATATCTAATATACATCTTGTGCAATGGGGAATATACTTGATTCCTTCATAAAATCCTTCATCGTCGCCGAGAAGAAAAGATTTTGTCTCTCTTGTGGCAAGCAACGTTCAATTACAGCTAAACTTTCGTCGAAATCTCCATTTAACATACGATCTGCCTCATCTACTACCAAATACTTAAGATTATCAAAGGAGAAAGTGTCACAACCAGTTAAATGGTCTGCTAGTCGTCCTGGCATGGCAACAACAATATGTGGACGTTGCATGAGTTTTTGGCTTTCGACCATTTGATCAGTTCCGCCTGAAACGACACATACTCGCACACCCATGGGCTGACCGGCAACCAAAAACTGCTCCGAAATCTAAAGTCGAAAAAGTTCAAACAAAATTATCTTAAAGTAAAATATCAACAACTGTTGTTACCTGATAAGCTAATTCATGTGTGGGTGTTAGTACCAATGCAAAATGGCTGGTTGGCTCCTCACTCAGTTTTTCTAGAATAGGTAGTGCAAATGCGAATGTTTTGCCGGAGCCAGTCTTAGCGGCACCAATGCAATCACGCCCGTTGAGTATTGCTGGAATGCAATTTTGCTGTATGGGCGTAGAAGTTTTGAGTCCTACAAGTGGAAGTTCTATTTCAATTGACTGTTTTTTTGGGGCGCATATACTTTTACTTACCCAACTTTTGCAGTTGCTTTGTCAACCATGGTCGTAAGCCCAAAGAGGCAAAAGGACTTGTATCCCTTTTAAACATTTCAAACAAAAATATCCATCCAATATAAGTAAGTTTTTTCTAGGAAGGTAAACAAACGTGTTTGGGCCAACAGCTGATAATGCACATGGTGTGGTGAATTTCGTGAGTTGCCAGATGTTTAAAAAGAATTTGGCAAAGAACGTAAATGTACAAAGAACGTAAATGTACATTTATACATTTACGTTCTTTGCATATACAATTAAAAAAAAATTGTACTTGTTATCATTCTTTTGTATAATCAGAATTTATAAGTTTATCTGATATATTAGACAAATAAATAGCCGTATATCCTGCTTGTATTTAGCTTTGTTTCCAAAGCAATCTTATGCAAACGCTTATAACCGGATTAATTCAGGTTTATTATATAGGGAACCATCTAATGAACTTAGTTTAATTTGTAATATACAGTGTTTGCAATTGACAAGTAAACCATAATTCATCTAAAGTTAATTATACTCACTACGAATTCACTTAAATTTATTGTCCCAGAATCACAAAATATCCTCTGCTTATTAAATCAGCAGCACTTAATAAATAACGAAATCCCAATACTTTTAAGTGAATTTTATTTACTTATAAAATTAAAGAAGCAAATGTGCCCTTGCTCCATTCGTCACACTTTCTTGGAACGGACAGTATTTATAAACCACTTCAAAGGTAAACAAAGTAAAATTTATATACTTTATTGTATAAAACAAGATTAACATACGCGCTCCGTCGATAAAGCCGCATTTGTTCTTGTGTCTACTCTCCGGTAGACTTTTACTTCTTGGCGGTTTGGCCGATCTTAGCCTTGGCAGTACCACGCACCTTCTTCATTCGGTTGCGGCGTTCCTTACGCTGTTTGCGGGTCTGTTTCTTCTGTTCGAAGAGTCCATGACGCGCCAGACGGTATTTAGGTTCGAATTTCTTGGCGTAGTCCAAGGTATCGTAGATAAGCGCGAAACCAGTTGAGCGGCCACCACCGAAATTGGTGCGGAAACCGAAAACGAAGCACACATCTGGTGTCACTTTGTACATAGCGGCGAGTTTTTCACGGATGTCTTTTTTGTTGACTGAAGATAAACCTGGATGCAGCACATCGCAAACCATTTGTTTGCGGGCGAGCAGGCGGTTGGTCATGAACTTGCGGGTGCGAATAGTGGCGGTTGTACCGGACATTTTGCAGCTGTTCTGTAAATAAAGGTA